GTCACCTCTCCTGGATGCTCCTGGAAGGCCTGGTCCATCTGAGGGCCTTGGCCTTTCCCCAGGACGCTCCTCTCCCCCAGTTTACTAGAGCAGCGCCTCTCAGTCTGAGCTTCCCTGTCCTCCATCACCGTGACTTCTCATCTTACTGATGCCTTTTACCAAATTTATTTTCTGGTTTTGCTTCTAGAATGTGAATCCATGAAAGTGAGATGTGTGGCCTATTCCCACTTCTGGGTGTAGTTCGAATCTAATATGTCCCCAAGGCCATGTGGGAAAGGGTGGTGGCCACCCATGGTAATGTTGGGGTGGCATTAAGAGGCGGAGCCTCGAGGAGTAAGTTACATCATCAGGGATGTGCCCCAGAAGGGGACTGGGGGACCCTGCCCCTTCCTCGCTCTCCCTTCTACTTCCTGACTCTGTAGGTAGGTAGTTTTGCTTCATTCCTTGCTCCCTAACCTGGTGCGTGACCTTGCCACAGGCCCAAGCAACAGGGCCAATCAGTCATGGATGAAGAATCTAAAACCGTGAGGCAAAATAAACCTTTCTTCTTTTAAGCTGATTATCTCAAGTATTTTGTTACAATAGTGGAAAGCTGAAAAACAAGATGTTCAGAGACCTTATAAAGTGTATGGCAAGCAGTAAGTCTTGAATTAATGGACAAATTTCCTACTTGGACAGGTTGGTTGAATAAAACGAAATGTGTGGAAGGGCACCTCCACACACACACAGAAAGCTGAAGGCCACCTTGAGCACCAGATTCTTAAGCTGCTCTGCTTGAGCTGCTGCCCCGTCTCCCACCTGCCCCTTGAGCACGGTGGGCCTGGCAGGACTGTAATGTTAGAGCCGGGTGCCTTTCCGAGCAGTCATGGTCTACTGAATTCTTGTGAGATTGAGCTTGTCTTGGCATGAAAAGAATAATCACATTTGGGGGAATAAAAGTAATTACTCCATATTGCTTAATATACCTAATAACTGTTTAATAAAGGATATAAAAATTTCCTTGCTTTTCACCTTTGTAAATGTCACTCAATCTATAACCTAATTACTTCAATTTTCCATTTAGAAAATTAATTCATTTTGAAGGCATGAAAAAGCAGCTGAGAAATTTTCCTTTCTGGCCAAAGACTTAGCCACTCAGAGAAGTTCACAGACCTCTCCGTTCTCAGAGGTCAAGAGCAGAGCTTTCCAAGTCAGCTAAATGGACTTCCACTTACGGCTCTGCTCCTTGAGTCTGACCTAAAGTAAATCAATTAAAGCAGACATAAGATTCTCAGGTTTCCCTCCCTCCCTTTCTCTCCTCCTGTTTCTTCTTGCAGGGAACGGACTTGCTTCAGAGAGACCGCAGGAGCAGCACTCAATAGGAGAGGAGCCTCCTCAGTGTGTGGAAAGGAAAGGGAAAATGGAATAAACTGTGTGAAGTACTGACTATGTGCTAGGTTTTAGCCAGACATCCTGCATCTTACTCGACTCTCATCCCTTTGTTAAGAGTCAATAGAGGGATGGATAAACAGCACTCACATTGATATTGTCTAATAAATATCAATAAATGCTTCTTATGTTCTGAAGGCTATGCTAAGTATTTTGCATGAATTATTTCAATTAATCCACTTAATAGCTCTATAAAGTAAGGATTGAAGTTATATCATTAATTCCATCTTCTAGGTAAGAAATTGGCTGTTTAGTAATCAAAAATAATTTCCCCAAATTTATGCTTTATAAAGAGTCAAACCTGATGCTGAAATAAGTATTGTTTGCTTCTAGTTTAAATAAAGCTCCAACTTCTTAATACCTTTGGTAAGATACCCCACGTGGGTGGAGGTGAGACCACCACTACTCCTTCAGTGCACTGCACGCTCCTCCTCCTCAGAGTGGATCCTGCCGCCTGCCTGGAGCTCCATTCACACTGAGTTAACCGGGGATGCAGGGCTGGGATTGACTGGGACGGTGTCTGCTCAGTATGGGGTGCGTGCCCCTGTGAACAGCTCTGGGATCCTGCACCTGGGGCCGTGGGGCCAGCACGCCATGTCACTGCCCAGCCTGACTGGCTTCCCACAGTTCCCCACTGCAGACTGTCCTTCAGCTGAGAGGCTTGGAAAGCCCACCACCGAGGGAGGAGCTGCATCACGCTGGCCTTTGGTTCCTCTCTGGAGTCGGTAGCTGTGGGGACGACCTTTGGAACTGGGTGTTTGGAGGGAGCCAAGGCCCCTGTGGTGCCTGTGGCTCTGGGGGTCTGGGAAAGTGAGACACAGCCCCGCGGGGACCAGCGTGTGAGAGGTGGTTTTCCTTGAAAAGAAGCATCTGCCCTCTTTGACGGGGCTGTCTATACTAACCTCAGAGCGTAAGCCTGGTCCCCATGATTTCACTGGTGACGGGAGTCAAGCTCCTGGAGCAGGGGTTTTAATGGGAAGCTGCTCGCTGTGGGCTGAGCGGCATTATCAGGCCGCTGCAGTCTCTTCGTGGAAACGGGCGCACCAATACTAATTACAAGTTTTCTTTGAGTAAGGACATTTCAATAGATCCTTGGCTTTTGTTCTTTCTCACCCAGTGATAAAAATTGATTGTGACTAAATCTGAATAATTCTAGCTTTTCTCGTTTCTCTTGTTCCCTCCGGACAGTAAGGGCACAGTCATTAAAATCAGAGACCTTCCTGCAAGTTGACCTTATTCTAAGCTGGCGCCCATCCTCAGGACCTGGGGTGGTCTGAACACCGCAGGTCCTCAATCCAGAGCCTCCTGGCCTGATGGGACATTGGGGTGACATCAGCAGGTGGTGAGAGGAAGGGTGCTGGCTCCTTAACTCACCTGGTTCCGTCACCAGGTGGGACCTGTCGAGACAGGAGGGGCTGTGGGTGCAGGGAGCAGCTGGAAGAAGAGCTGCGACTTGAGTCCAAGGGTTTCAACATTCAGCTCTCCAGGGTGCTCGGGTGAGATCACATGACCCCCTCACCGGTGGATACCCAAGGTCTCCCCTCTCTCCATCTTGAGCTGCCAGTGTTAAACCCCAGCGCCTCAGCGGACTGTTATGAAAAAGAATGTTGATGATGGTTTCCTTCCAAGCAGAGCTCTTTCCAAAGTATGATGGATCGCTCACTTCTAAAATCTCGAAGGCAGATAATGGCTTTCCCCTTAATTATTCAGCTATGAGGTTCAAACTTGCGTAAGGCTGGATGGGAGGGGAAGGTTGGGTGGCTGATGGGACCCTGGCATGGCACCGTCTGCACTGCCCAGAGCAAGCGCCTTCTTTTGTTCTGGTCTGGTTTTCTAAGGTTCTCTAGATGGATCTCACTACCACAATTTAAAGGGGAAGAAAATGCACAAAATGGCATTGAAACAAGGCAAATGGACCTTGTCCAGTAAGAAAACATGTTACTTACTGAGGCGAGGATGAGAGCGCAGATCATACTTACTGATAACAGCTACATCCGGGTGCAGCACGTATTCAAATATTATGGACTTTTATATTTCGTAATATAAATAAACTGTTGTAATTTATTTTTTGTGCATCAGGATTGTGGACCTGCCAGGAATCGTGTTGGATCCTGGAAATATTCGTTTTTAAAAGAATTACTTGTATTATAAAATATGTGGTATATATTTGCATCTGTCTCAAAGCTTTTGGTGTGTCCATACCCAACAGAAGCCTCTGGGAACAAGACTTCTGGCAGAGGGGGCAGAGCCTTGCCAGGCTTTCCAAAGCTGATGCTCAGTGCCTTGGGGAGGAGCGTGAGTGTCCTTGGTTGCCCTCCTCAGCTTTTAAGCCTGACACTTGCTTGAGGGTATTGCGCTGTAGCTGTGACTCCTAAAATACCTTTCCCTCATATTCTGAAGCCTGGTTGATATGTATGAAGATCCCTTGAAGGATTATTGTTTTCTCCCAATCTATATATTGCAAACAATACCAGCAAAACGGAGCTTTTCTTGTGGTATATTTCTGAGTTGGAATTAACAGGATTCCGAGTCATTTTTAGAAGGTATCTTCTATGAGCGAGATGTTCTTCCCTTGAAAAGGTCCTGCAAAATCAATATTGATTTTAGGGTGAAGCATATGATATGCGCCTTTACAGTCCTTTCTGTATCAGAATCAATTCCAGTATAACAGACACAACTTTGAGCTTTAAAGATTGGTGACCTTAATAACTTTGGCAAAAGGCCCTGTGAGAAACTATTATGAAGGATTCTTTATTGCTGTACATCACACATGGAAATGACTTTCAACTTTCCCTCCCAAGTGCTCAGGAGCATGGGTAACAAAGCCAAAAAAGAAAAAAAGAACCCTACAAGGTGAACTTCTCTTGGCCTTTGGAGTGTATATGATGAAGCTACCAGCTGTAACACAGAAACCCTGAAATTTTAGTGGCTTAAATGATTTGATTTATTCTTTATGTAATATTCCAACAAGCAAGCTCAGGGGATGGTCTTCACTTTATGGTTCAGGGACCCAAACCTTTCCTGGCTCTGATCTGTTGTCCTCTGTGTGCGGCTTCCATGGTCCCTAGGAAGGGAAGGGAATGGGCAGTGATGTCACCGTAGCTTCTCCATCCATCCCAGGAAGCACATGCATTCCTTCTGCTTTGATCCCTTATAAGAACTGGCACCATGGCCGTGTGCCAGAGGAGCTGGGGAATGTGGTCCTTGCTCAGGTCCTTGAAACAGGACTTTGCAGAGAAGGACATCTTTTTGGGACAACAGTCTGTCTCTGCCACCATAGAATATAAGCCTCATACTTTGTTGCCATTAAAAAAAAATCAAGATATCTTAATGATATGTTCTTGGGAAATATTTTTCCCTGAAGGGATGTTAGGAACAGATATTCTTAAAAAGATATTCTTGCAGAATCTGGCATCTCCTCCCTGAGTGGGCAGCCACGTGGGTGCACGCCTCCACTGCCTCTGCTGGTCTAACACCCTTGACTTCTTGAGCTCTCCTGACTCTGTGGGAACCAGTCACCACCTTCACGTTATAGACAGCATTTCTATTATAAATGTCACTTCTGATTTCTGTGACATGCAGTGATATGGTATCATTAGGGAGAGGCTTTTCCTGGGCCATTATAAATGTCAAATTTGGTTGGAGGAATTCACTGTGAATGGTGCATGGGCAGCAATTCCACAAACTCATCTAGGAAATCTCCAATGCTGCATGGTGGGGATGGTCGACATGGCTTTTCAATAACTCAGAGATGTGCTCACCAGGCTCTGGATTTCATTTGTAAAATCTGAATCTCTAAACAGTGATTGATGGCTGTGATTAATAGGGTGCCATAGTCCCACATTACCTTAGGTTCTTTCCTTCACTCTGGCAGAAGCCTTCGGGACTCCTTGTGCATGAGCATGAGTCGGGAGGAGCTGGAGCTTCGATGGGAGGCCTTTCCATATTGCCAGACCTCCGTCTTGCACCTGGTGGGAACAATCACAGTGCCATCTCTGGGCTGTGCGATTGAGGGAGATAATGAAAGGAAAAGGCTTAGCCCAGGGCTTGGTTCATTAAGTGCCCAGGGAATTGCAGTTCTTCTCTTCCTCCCTCTCCTTCTGTATCAGTTTTCTATTGCTGCTGTAACAAATTGCCACAAACAAATGTGTCATTTTATAGCCCTGGGAGTTGGAAGCCCAACCTGGGCTCAGGGCCAGCATTGAGGGGCTGGCAGGGCTGGATCCTTCTATAGGCTTAAGGCTTCCTGCAGGCTCTCCTACCTTTCCAGCTTTGGAGGCCACCTGGTCCTGGGCTCACAGAGGCTTCCTCATCTGTACAGCCAGCCTCTGCAGGTGGAGCCTCCTCTCGTCCCTCCCACCCTGGCACCCTAACCCAGTCTTGCACCATGGTCTTCCATCTCTCAGGACCCTGGGGCTGTGCTGGAACAGTCGGGCAGCCCAGGATGGTCTCCCTCCCTAGCAACCTTCATTCGATCTGCACCTGTAACCCCCTCCCGCTCTGTGCCAAGTAGCCTGACATATTCACAGGGTTGGAGACTAGGGTGTGGACATCTCTAGGGAGTCCATTTTCTGCCTCTCCAACTTTATTTCCTTTCTTCTGGGTTGTTTTTGTTAAAATAGTACCATTATTTAAATAACCCTTAATATTTTGATGTAGCTGGTGCTGAGCTCTGTCTTTTTTGCTTTTAGAGTCAGCTTCCTTTACTCTAGGAATCTTCCAAACCAGTTTTTCTGATGCCTAATTTCTGCTTTTGCTCCAAAACAACTATTTTAAGCATAGTGGACTAGAATAGAGATGATGTTCTATTATTTACCAGTAGCTAGGAAGACAAAATGATAAAGCACATTATCATTTCTTTTTTCTTCTTGGATGTTCTGATGTCACTGGAAAATATGCCCTGATGGGAAGCCAACGAGAAAGAGCAATGCATGAGCAGCACTCAGTATGGGAGCTGGCCATCGCCACCAAATGATTCTGGAAGGACTCCACTTTAACTCTTTGCTGCATGAACAATACTCACAAGAACAAATCAAAATTTGAAACTGAAAAAGAAAAACCAAACATTGCTGTAGGACTTGACCACAGGTCGTACTCCCTTCTTGGGGTATTAGCATATATGTA